TGCTACTGCTACTGCTACCGCTACTGCTACTGCTATTATTACTAGTACTAGTACTACTACCACTGCGACTACTACTACGACAACAACAACTACTACTACTACTACGACGACGACGACGACGACGACGACTACAACTACAACCACAACCACTACTATTTCTACTACTACGACTACTACTGCTACCACTACTACGACAACTACTACGACGACTACTACTACAACTACAACCACTGCTACTGCTACTGCTACTGCAATTCCTACTGCAACTCCTACTCCTAGTGCTACTACTTCTACTTCTACTTCTACTTCTACTACGACTACAACAACTACTACTACTACTACTACTACTACTACTCTTACTGCTATCACTATTGCTATCACTATCACTGGTACTAGTACTAGTACCAGTACTACTGCTGCTACTGCTACTACTACTACTACTACTACTACTACTACTACTGCTACTACTACTACAACAACAACAACTACTACTACTACTACTACTACTACTACCTCTACTGCTACTACCACCACCACCACCGCTGGCACCACCACGACCACCACCACCACCACCGCCACCACCACCACCACAACCACCACCACCACCGTCGCGGCTATGCTTGTATTTGTACAGCGAGGCCTGATGACGAGTGATGAGAGTATCAAAACAATGGCGGTATCTAGCAATAGAAACCCTCGTTATCGTAAGCAGGGTCGTGGCGACTACACACAAAGTCCTAGAAATTACCGGTGTCGCCCAGACGATGCAGTCCGAAGCCTTGCAAGGAGAACGTACGCAAACTCTGAACACAGAGCCCAAGGTGCCGTACCCCACATGCACCAACCCTAACAAAAAAAATCTGTTACCCGAGACTCTTCGAAGGGATGAGCGTTGACCTGGAAGCTCCAGAGCCTCAGCAGGCGCCGCCTCTTGAGATCGGAGGAATACGGATTTTAACGGGCACCGGCAGTAGCAGCAGTCGCGGTGGTAGCAGTAGTAGAGTCCGGAACCCTCACCTGTAATTGGGGTTTAGGGTTAGTGCTCTGGGTTTATTTTTAAGTTTCAGGCTTACTAGTGTTGCTTTCGGTATGCGTACCATTCCCATGACTCTTCCAACGATCGTATCTCTCCAACTGCAGTTTGAAATGAAGTGTGCCTGAGCAGTGGTAAAACTCGTCATGAGGACGGACTCTCAGAAGGCTGGTTTGCATCTACATCTTGAGTTTTCGCAGAACATGCCACATTGAGCAGATTGCCTGTGACTTTGCTTTGGTATCTGCAGATGAGACCGCACAAAGCTTCCAAGCAATATGTCAATGTGTGGTGGGAACTTTATCCTAGTCCTTTGGACCTCTGCAAGAGAGTAAAATGTATTAAACTTTGCTAAACCCTAAACTGCCAAATATTGTGTTGTTTGAATGCAGTTTCTCTCAAACCCCACCACCCGAAAACCACGTATGGCTGTACTGAGACGTAACCTCAAACCCCAAAACAGTGTTGGAATCACAATGTTTGAAACTACCCACTGAAGCCCTCCCTGAACACGGACACCTCTCCCATTCCGAGGTGGCAAAGCCCATCAGTAGCGAGGCTCTAGAGAGGCTTGACTCCGTGGCCGGGCGCTCAAGACGACGGGTCCACAGGGTTTCCGGGTGGGACACAGGGTTCTGTTTTCAAAGAGTTTGGGTGCAGAGTCCCTTTGTTGCAAGAGGGCTCAGGGGCTGGGGCTTGCGCAGGCCAGGTTTGCTAGATCCAGTTTAAGGCCTCGCCTTGTGTGTGGACTAAATTGTAGTACGTGATCTGGTTACCGCTTGTGTTCTTAAAGATGCTTTCGCAAGACACGCGTTGTGAAATTGGATGCCGACAGTCCTCACGCAACTTTCCGTACACCCATTGAACTATTGAACTCATCAGCAACCCAGAGCAATGTCTATGTCGCAGCAGTTTTCACTTTGTCGGCCGCTCCAGTAGTTCTGCCAACTTTGTCAGCCTTGCTCCTCGGAAGGGATGTCCTGATGTGTTTTGCCCCTCAGAGACGACCCTCAGAGACCATGGGTGGGCGCTCAGTTTGGCACTATCTCGCCGTGGCTCAACGCCCAGGCTCAAGAGCTTCTGCTTGCTTCTCTTTGGGGGTTAGGCTTCCCTCTTTGGGTTTCATAGGGGCCTGTGTAAGGAGCGATATGGGTACTAGCCGTTGTCACCCAAAAACTTGTTCCGGCCAGCAAGAAGACCCAGACTGGCCGTACAACTATAGTTGTGCAATTCTTTTAGTCTGGGCAGGGTCCGGATCGGACTGGCATCCGACCGCTTGAGGTTTCACGAACAAGCGACGACGCAACGGTCCAGCGGATGGGCAGGAAGCAACAACACAGCGTTCAGGGTTGCAAAACTCCGGCAGAAAATCCGTAAGCCCTCGGAAGATTCAACCAGTCATGTTTGCTTTGGGAAAACTTCGTGTCCGGAGTGCACACCAGCGCATATTGACGCATCTTCATTGTCGTCTCTGTTCTGATCACTGCTCTTGGTAATTGCTGAACGCGGAGTAGCTAACCTTCTTTCCACAAGCGAGCTTCGAACCGTCAAGATCTTAGGCGTGGGCATCGTACTCCACCTCATGTGTTCTGCATGTCTTGCCGCTAGTTTAGACCCCTAGCCCCGCAGCCGCTACACTGTCACCAGGGTTCCCTCACTTGTGCTTTCGACAGTCTACGCAAGCCTTGGCAGCTAACATGGGAAGCTGACTAATTGTGTGTGTGTGTGTATTATATATATATATATATGTGTGTGTGTGTGTGTGTGCGGATTCCTGTATAAATGTATTCCCGAGCCTTATTCCAGTCATCAAGGGCTTTTCCATGGGCTGCAGACTTTATCAAATTGACATGACAGTGGATTTTTAAGCTTTCGCGCTGCAGAGTTGGCTGGTTCGGTGATGGTTGCGCCATCCTAAACCCTAATCCGGCATTTCTAAACCCCAGTGTCAACTCTGGTTTATTTCGTTCGTGACGAGGGCTCTAAGAGAAAGCAGCTACCAAGAGTCCGTTTCTTGCTTGCACCTTACGATGCTTATAAGGCATGGTCTAGTCTTGCAGTAATTTTGTTCCCTCACTTTTGCAAGAATCTTTACTTCAAGCTTGAGAGTATGCATTTACGGTCAGGGGGCATTGGACAGAAGGGGACGATTTCATGCGAAAGGTTGTCGAGCTGTGGCAGTCTACCAGAAGGAACTCTACCAGGAATATTAGTGGTTCTCATGATACTGAGATGCGGACTCAGGTTCATAGAAATCATCATTGTCATAGCCTATGTCATCATGTTCGTCTCTAGGCGTCCGCCTCCTCCTCATCATCATCATCCTCGTCATCATCAACAACAACATCGTCATCATCATAACCATCGTCATCGTCCTCATCTTCACCATCATGATATGCATTTTGGTCGTCCACATGTCATGATGAATCTACTTTTATCCGCGTCATCATAAGCATCAGCGCGAGGTCGGAGGTGACTTGGCACCCGGCCGGGTTCACGACGAAGCAAAGCTGGCTCCTCTTGGCTGCTACCGAGAGAACAACCATGTTTCTCACTAGCCTCTATCACAACATGGAGACGGAATGGAAGTGAAAGAAGCGGACATGCCGAAGCCCCGAGCAGTTAGTCCGGGGTTCAGCAAGTGCGTAAGGCATGGGAATCTGTTTTGCCCAGATTGTCTCGCCAGGTCGACTGGACCTGTGCGCAGGTGGTGTGGGAGCATTGCCGACGGAAGAGCGACCGGCGTTGGACCCTAGCATGAGGAAAACAGCACCGCAAGGGTTTCGGTAAGGCATAGGCAGGCTTGTCTTTGGTGCATGTCCGCAGAGTAGTTCTTGATCCAAGAAGGGTGCAGTTGATCTTGTGTCGAACATGTTTGTGTGGAGCCGATCTTGGAAGATGCGCGCAGGGTTGAGCTCTTTTACACAGACGAGTAATCTCCTCATGCCTGCCTGGTCCATCAGGCTGACAGAATGTAGCAGATGTGCTTCAGCTGCGAGACTAGGACCTGAACAACAAACCCTTGCCTTCATCCGAAGTAGCTTTTGGCAAGTCCTCCAGTGCTTTTGCTTGACACTGACAGGTCGATAAACACAAGCACCGGCCCCGGGCCCCCGGAAGTCGTTCCAACACTCATCCCAGCCCCATGAAGCGGAAGTCTACGACTTGGAACCCCGATGTGAAAAGTGTGCCGATCTTCGGATGCTTCCTGCACAGCTCCCGCAGCTGATGCAGCCCAGGAGGCAGTTGCTGCAAATCCATCAGGGTTTACCGCTTGCATCATGGGAAATGTGCAGTGCATGGCAAAGCTCAGCTTCCTGCGGAGCATCGTTCAATCACCCAGCACAGAAGTGGATGCATCACTGGCCCTCTGCACACATGCAGGCGGCATGATCATCACCGCCGCGTTCCAGTTTGCTATGGGCGAGGGTCTTACGACGACCTCTATGGTTTATGCCCGACGCACAGATGTTTGTGGAGCTGTTACTGCCTGCGCATGTCAGGCTTCCTCGCCTTGTTGCTGAGATACGGCGAGCACTGCTCACAGAATCTACAGGAACACTTGGGCTGAGCACCATGGCATGGAGTGTGCGCTGCACGAGGCGAGGTCGCTTTCATCACGTGGCACAGAGGATCAAGCGGGAATGTAGACGCGTCCAGAGCTTGGCAGCATCTGCAAGGGGCGATGCTTCTGAAACCATGCCTGAACACAGTCCCTAGCGATGTCCTAAGGTCGTTTGGGTGCTGACTTGTGTGAGCCTCGGGACCGTGGTTCATCTCTCATAAAACGCCTTGATTCAAGAATCTAAGGTTTAAAGTTCAAAGTTAAGGGTCTCCTGCATGCTTTGTACAACCCTGAAGCCCTCACCCCTGAGCCCTAGCCCGAATTAGCCCGAATCAAGGCCTAAAGCCCAAACAGCAAGGCTTCCATTGCGGCCCCTGCAAGTTCCTATGGCGCTGCTGCAGACGGAAAGGCTGAACACTTCTGGCTTGCCACGGTTCACTTCCCTTTCGAAGGGTATTTTAGTGGAACATGGTTGGGGTGAAAGTTTCGAACCCCCAAAACCTGGCGAATTAGATCGCCCCAGCAAAGTTACACTATATTATCTGCCCTCTGAACCGGTCTCGCATCAACGACATGTACTACTAGTATAATATGCCGCTGAGCCGTGAAGCCTAAACCTTAAAGACCGACACGGAAACTCCAAAAGGCCCCTTTACAGTCCGTGTACGGCCAGAGGGCAAAATCTAGCAAACCCGTATTCTAATTCTAATTGTTTCAGGATCTTATAAAGCAGTTCTAACAGCTTAGAGCCCTTACAAAATGTTCAGGGGAACCTTATTCAGGTAAGTCCAGGCCAGGAGAGCCCTGAAGTCGTTTCAACCTCAACTCTTGACCCGACCCAGCCCACCAAACACCTATCCTGCTGAAGCAGCAGATTTCCGCAACCCAGCTTTCCCAAAGCCATGACCAGCAAGACCCCTCAATGACTCAAGCCCGGAGCACTACACCGTCAGCGCTGGAACCCTATCTTTATGGCACCCACCAAACAGGAGAAGCTTCCAAATTTTCGGGCTCCCATTATGGCGCCTCGAGCCTGAAGCCAGGATTCCTAGACTCCAAAGCCTTTGGAAGATCCTGTAGGAACTCCATGAACCACTTTCAAGGCCCTCTACACACAACATCCTGCAAAAACTTGTGAAGCCCTGGAGGCGTCATCTCGGCTCGTAAGGAAACATCGGACCCGTCGTCCTCTGGCGCCGGTCCGGAGCCCCGGGGCACGGGCTAAGGAAAAAGGGCCAAAGTTTAGGGCTTGGTGTTTCGGGGTTAGTGTTTAGGGGGTTAAGTTAGGAGGCGTTTTGGGCTTGTACAGCTTTTTGGGGCTTTAGGATTCAGGCCTTCGGTTTTGGGGTGTTGCGCTTTTGATAGGCTTAGGATTCAGGCTTCAGGGTTTTAGGGCTTAGTTTGGGGAGTGGGCTGTGTCAAAAGCAGACAGTGGGCAGTTTAGGTTCCCTTAAATTCAGGTTTGGAGGTGTAGAGTAGAGGTTGCAAGGGTCTTATCGGCATGGGTTGAAACTAGCTCATGCAGGGCCCCTAAGCCTCAAACCGTGCGTTAGAGTGAGGCCTTTTTGGAGTCTCGGTTTTGTGCTCATTGTCAAGGGTCGTCGGTTTGTTTTACATACTGGGCTGTGCCTACTTTGAATCATGACTTGCTAATCATAAATCCGAGCCCTAGACGTCACGACTCAAATCCAAACTCCGAGACTATGCGGGATCTGATTGAATAACTTGTATGGATATCCCCTATGCATACATTACATACCCAGGGTGCGTGTAACTATCTATCTATCTATCTATCTATCTATCTATCTATTAATGTTCTACACAAAGCGCGCACTGGAAGTCTTTGGCTCTAGCTGAGGTGCGAACGGCGCAGAGGATCAGCCACGACCCTCCAGATTCGGATTCATTCTGAAGGCAGGCATAGCGGTCAATACTCATGAATGTAGTTGTAGCGGTGTATGGATAAACACATAACCAGAGCACACTCATATATACACATCCTTCTACATACATGCATACATACATACATACATACATACATATGTGCATGCATGCTTACAGGCACACTTACTTACTTACTTACTTACTTACTTACTTACTTACTTACCTACTTACTTACTTACTTACTTACTTACTTACCTACCTACTTACTTACTTACTTACTTACTTTACTTTACTTTACTTTACTTTACTTTACTTTACTTTACTTTACTTTACTTTACTTTACTTTACTTTACTTTACTTACTTACGTACTTACTTACTTACTTACTTACTTACTTACTTACGTGTACCTACATACGCGCATACATGCACACATACACGCCTGTGCATGCAGACATGCATACCTACATACATATATACACACAGACACACACCCGTGCATACATACCTTCATGCCTGCTTACATACATACATGCCTGCATGCATGGATGCATGCCTAGGTGCATGCTTGCGTGCACGTATGTGTTAATATTACCACACAGACATGGACAGAAACGCATACATGGTACATCAGCGCATATCTACACGCCTACAAATGGACGTATATATATATATATATGTATAGATATATGTCTGCTTACATATACATATGTGCATCTTGCACGCCTGAATCTATGTAGATGCATGCAAGGACTTCCAAATCCGCGTTCATGCCTATTCATACCTATGTATATATATATATATATATATATCTGTGTGCGGATTCGAGACTAGGTTTCTGTGTCGAGGGTTTTTGGGCCAGAACGAGGTTTCGACATTCGGCTTGGGATCCATCTGTAGTGTACGATACAACAAGTTGGGCTTGGCTCGGTCAAGCTTGCGCACTGGGGCGGATTGAGATTTCGGCTGAGGGGTTCTTGGCTTTGCGATTGAAGCACAAGACCTGCAGGTGACCGAAATTCCGGACTGTCTGGCGGATAATTTCCGATGGTATTGGCCACAGCCTCAATGGGGAGTTTCAGACTTTAGGAGTCTGTGAGTAAGACGTTTGATCCTGCTCGCGATTTCTAGAAGGAGTCGTTTAGTCACTGGACACTCACGAACACCAGTGCTGTTCGAGTTAGGGCCCCTGGCTTGCGTTGTGTGGATCAAAGAAGAAAGCATGGCTGGGTGAGTTTGCATGCCTGTTTCTTGGGTTACCGAAGATAATAGTAGGCCTTGGAAGCTTGGGGAGATTTTATGGGAGTTTGGGAGCTAAAGTTCTACACTTGCTTCATAGATGCCTTGTAAGGGAGCTCTCTGCAGGAGTTAAAGAGGCTAAGCATGCAAGTGCTTTTTGGCTTTGACGGGTTGACGGCCTAGGTTCGCGTTCGCAGCTTGAGCCACAAAACCCTACACCCAAAGGCCGAAGCCCTGAGACCCGAATCCCGACATCCGGAGAACAGCCGCAGGCCTCTAATGACCTAAATCCTAAATCTCAGAGTAGCCTAAGAACCCTTATCGAGCCCTGAAAAGAACTAAAAGAACCCCTTCCACAGGAGCCCTAAACCTGCACTTAAAGCCCCTAGACCCCGCAAGTCCTCTCGCAGTATCCTTGCAGGATCCCCTTCAAAGGGAACACCAAATCCAGGCAGCTGCATTTGCTCTGAGGTTTCTGCTGGCGGGCCAGGCCGGACTTATGGCCGCTGTCCCAGCGGAGCTTTCCTTTTTCACGAAAGACAAAAGTCTACCCAACCCCTCCCACCCCTCCGAACCTTTTCCAATTAACTCAAAGAGAGCATTCTGCTTGGTGTGCCACAGAGATCAGCCCGGGCCTGTACCCTGAACCATAAAAGCTTGAAGCTCCTTCACCGTCACATGACCTGTAAGACGGCGGATAGAAGCCTTACAGGACCCTGACATGAGCCCCTCTAGGAAGCCGTGGAGAACCGTCATGGGACTCTCGGAAATCCAGGCTCTGATCCGAGAGTTAAAAGATGTGAAAAGTCAGTAGGGAGTTTCCGGGGTTCGGCCTTTGGACGCCCAAATTTGTCCATCCTCCCAAGTTCTGAGGTGCGAGAGATCATTGTCATTCAGATGCTCAATGGATGGTACTGGGAGGCCTGCCGAGAAGCTTGGCGCGTTTTGACTTGGGTCCGGGCGCTTGCAGAGAAAGCTCTGGTCTGAACGTGGCCCTTAAAGCCTTAAGAGATCAAAGCTCAAAGCAGTTCCTAATGAAGGTGTCCAAGTTGATGGGAAAGTCATGAGCCAGTCG